CACGTAAATACCTATTGTACATTGAGTGTGTATGATATTCGTATGTGCATATTGTTTACATAGATAGTGTACGTACATCAAGCACATGATAGTAGTGTACGTGTGTTCTTATATATGACATAAAGTCGAAACATTTAACGTAGGAATTTGATAGTGTACGTACATGAAACACATGATAATGTACGTGAGTTCTGAGATGTGACATTAAGCAGAAACATTTAATGCATAGTATTAAATGCAATGACAGACGAAAAGTAAAGATATTTTCGTCCGATTTTCTTGCAAGTGATATATTTGTATGTGAAAAGTGTTTTGTAATATTTTTGTATTTAGAAATGAGTTTTTATGACTTTTTGTAGTCATCTCTTCAAAATTTACCTCTCAATGTTGAATTATTCGTCTACTCCATTTTTTTTTAAATCCCTAAAAACAAATATTTCGAACCATGATCGGAATCTGGAAAAGGGTAACGAAAATCGATTGTGAATAGTCGCCGGCCAGATGAATCCTCTGTTTGCGGTGGTCGCCACCGCGAAATCTCTCAGTTTCTCCTCGTAAGCTACTACTACCGATTCGTTTCTTCCCATAACAAATTTGTTTTAGATTAGTCTGCCTAGGCTAATTACAGTGATTTTGTCCATGTTCAAGTTTTAACCATAACAAATATAGCTTCATTACGAATCTCAGTGATCTGTTCCTCCAGCGTTACAATCTCCGCTTCCGCAGTCGTCCTTACTTCTTCATTCTCTGTCTTACGTGCCATTTCCCTCAATGCTGCAATTCCATACTCCGAGCAGCATTGAGGAAGACCACCTCTTCTACATATTTTCTTCAGAACTGTAGGGCAAACTTCCATACTCCGAGCAGCTTTTTTCGATTGGAAGATCAAAATGCATCTTCACATCGTCCAATGTCAACTTTCCAGTTATTTCTCTCTGTTTCTCGTCCTCGGCACAAAGAAGATGAATCATAAAACCCAAGATTAGTGACTTATCTCTCTTTTAAATAGATTAATAAAAGGCTATCTTATACCACAAGCAACATGTTCTAATCCAAACCCTAAATTCTCTATCATTTATGTTCTTTGATTAAATGAATCAACATGTTCGAATAAAATTCTCAATGCACTAGAGTTTAGTCATTGAGATCACCAAAAGGCTTGTAGCACTAACCGTAGTTAATACTCTATAACAAAAGGGCAAAACCTAACCCTAATTAATCTTCTAAGACAAAAAGGGTTCCTTATAGCGCAAGAAACATGTTTCTACCCTAAAAATAGCCCTAACAGATCATTGTAATGTGTGTAAACTTAGAGAATCAGAGACAAAACCTGCGCAGCGAGAGGAGTATTTCTTCTTGGTCTTACTTTCGAAGTCCCGGGGGATTCATCTCTCAGTCCAATGTATAGCGGCACGGATGGAACATTAAGTGCTTCATTAAACTGATTGATAGAAACTACTCAAAGAAGCATGAGTGTCATGCACAAGACTAAAACCACTAGCTTCTCTCTCCAAAAGATAGTTTTCTATAAACCTCTTCACATCATCCATCTTTAAACCTTTCAAAACAAACGATTGATGTCGAAGCTTGCTAGAATCAGCAAATCGTTGAGTCTTGAGAACCGCATGGCAGAAAGAACCAGTCTCTCCATAATTGTATATCAGGCTAATGTAGTTGGATTTATTCATATATTTTTTAAAAAAAAATGGAATTACTGACAACACATTATCATTTGAATTCAATGGTTTTGTTCTATGTATAACTCTACAGAAAATATAATTTTCCCAAACAAGAATTTCCACAAGTAAAATATAATTTTGCTCTTTGGTTTCATCGAGAGATCTAAACCCGATCCGCACCAAG